AACCAGCTCAGTGGTTTTTGTTTGGTGATAAAATGTAGAGATGATGGAGGTGGATGGAAATCAGGTATGAGATGGTGAATTCTCAGAGCTCATAATAAGGAAGAAGCAGGATCTCCCTGCTTGGCGTTTCACTGAGAACCACTTTCTCCTTTGACTTTGCCTGTATTACAGGTCCTCGTTTGTTGTCTTTTTGGAACCTCATTTTAGACATATGTCATTTCATTGTAAAAGCATGAATTATTTTTGTTCATTTTGTTTGTTTTTCCCCTAACCAGGCTGGGGATATCTTTGTTTGATTCATTTTTCCTCTGTGCCACTTTTTAAGGGCCTGTAGGAGAAATGTAGAATTTGAAATATTATCCTTAGGGTGAGGTGAACAACAACTCTCTGCTGGATGTCAGAAGCCACTGGCAGTTGGAAGAAGCACCTGCTTAAGATCTCAAATAATCTATATTTTCCCAAATGTTTTTAAGGTCCACCACCAGGATTTTTGGTTGTCTGTAGGGCTACAACTCTTTGGTAAAAATAAATGATTTTGCATTTCAAATGCTATTTTTTTCCAGAAAATCAGTACTGTATACTAATTATGACCCTCCCTATCCCATCGCAAGTTCTCTGTTGTTCATCTTCTTGAACTCTGGTGTGGCACTAATTGATTAATTTCATGTCAAGAAAAGTACTTTGAAGATCTCTAATGTCATTTATATGGGTATTCCTTCCACTATTGCTAATCTCAGGTCTTCTGTTAGTAGCTGCTTTCACCAGTTTATCACCTAGTGATATTTCTTCCGATGGCAGGCCTCCCATACTTATCCGAGGTAGTCTTTGGATGACAGGCGTACAGTCCATTGCAGAGCCACAATCTGCTTGGGAAAATCTGCAGAATGTGTGTTAGAGTGGCATAATCTTCAAGGACCAAGGGTCATTTCATGCCATAGTAAGGTGAAAAAGTAGCAATTTGTGGATAAGAAAATGGCACCAGTTAATAATCCTTTGTAGACATGGGCCTGGTTTTGACATAATAGAAGACATGCTAGGAGAAGAAATGTGTGTGGCCCGTCAGATTTTGCTGGATTGTAACTCTTACCATCTCCTCTGCATGGGCTCTCCTGGTTAGATCCGATGGGAATTGTAGTTCAGTAACATTTGCAAAGCCAAACATTCTCCATCCCTGGTTTAATGCTCTGTCATTGAGCTTGAGAAGGTTTTAGATTTACACATGTCTCCATCCTTCTTTTCTGAGCAGTAAGAAGGTTAAATTCATCTGCAATTTAAGCTAATTTGTTCCTGAATAGGAAACAACGGTTTAATGTAATAATGGTTTATCATATCAAACCAGAAACAAACAGAAGTTCACATAGGTTCATTTCCGAAGTGCTAAAATACGGTGTAGTTTTACAACCAAATGAAGTCATTAGCTAATCCACTTGTGGAGACTCCACAGTGGAGAAACCATAGGCATAACAGTGGGATAGGTTGTCCCTAGTGGCAGTTGCCTGTGAATAAATGGCCTAGATTGAGAGGTCCTTCTGTATCAAAAGAAGGCAACTGAGTATTCATCCAGAATACAGTACAGTATGTAATACGAGATGAATTCATATATGAATTTTGTGGAGCCAGCTGAAACTCGTTCATTGTTACCAGTTGATTTGACTGGTGATACACTACATGACAAAACACAGTCTAGGGCCAACTTAGTTATATTGTTATTTGGTATCACATGGAAAAAATGTATGTAATTATATGCTGCTGTTCAGATTACACTTGGGCACTTTTTAACAAGATGCTTCCTGCTGTGGCATGATTGTATAACATGCACTTTCAATCAAAAAGAAATGTATGATTAAAGTAGCTGGCACACAAGTGGCACAGGTGGCAGGAACTACAGTATACAGGTTTTAGCAACTCATGTCTTTAAGTTGTTCATGCTGTCTTGTATGAGTTATTTGACTAAGAACAGCTGTATAAATATTTGTTCAACTCTTTTAATAACTTGAATAAAAAGTGCCACAGACTTTTAAAGTAAACCTGTTTACATCTTATTTCAGAGGAAGACTGCCAGTGAATTTTGTGTTTTGGAAAAAGGTGGTAGAGGTTAGGAAAAATAAAATTACTTTAATATTGCATATGAGTATTAAGAATATGATGTGTTCTGGTTTCCCAAGTATGAATTTCAGATTATATTCCATTCCACTTGCTTTGGTTTTGAGAGTGGAGTCAGAACAGAAAATGTCTTTTGTGTGCCAACTGAAATTTCACTGTGTTTGACCAGTGTGGTTCTAAGATTTAGTAGGAATTTTAATTATATCCTAGTAGTATGATATTGTAGTTTTATATGTTGTCCCTGTATGTGGTACTTTCAGTGCATGTGTTTATGACGAAGAAACAGTCCTCATGTTGTTGGTGTATTATTTCAGTTAATGAAATTTTGCATATCTAGACTGAACAGGAAGACTCCAGAGGCACAGCCCATAGATGGTGGATAATTTTTATTACTATGGTATTATGAATTGTTCTGCTTATATGATAGCAGATGTTTTGATTTTAAATTTGCACACTTATCTCTGCTAATCTATAGATCCTTTCAGACAAAGCTTCAATGCACATTCTCTCAACCCCATTCATGAAACAGTATCGGGTTGAAATGTCATCTTCTGTTTGTAATGTTGCCATGTTTTACCACCACCATTTTGTTAATGTGCTATCAAGCCATTGCTGCTAACATTGGAATTAATGTCCTCCAAAAGGTACTATAATTAACAGCACTGCTCAGGCCATGCAAACAAAAGGCCTGCCATTTCTTCGACTTTTTCTACAAAAAAATCCAGTAAGGAGGAAAAGAGATAACTGTAAAATATATTTGTAGTAACAGTAGGAACCATTTGTCTGACAGTCCCCTAGTATTAAAAACAGGTTGGATTTGTTTTAAATCACATGGATTCAAATCATGATTTAAATGTTTAATAATTTGAATTTCTAACAATGTGATTTTTTTTAAAAAATTAAATCACAATTTAAATCAATTTGATTTTTTAATTATTGATTTTTACCCACCCTGATTAAAAATAAAGTTTACTATAACCTCAATACAATAATAGTTCAAGATGATGGCTGTAAGTTGGAAGTAAACTGCAGTATTTGAAACTTTGGTCTAAGCAATGTCTGGCATCTATAAAGAAGCCACATATGTTTGTAATTCAATGCTTTATATCTGATATGTCTTTAGGGTCTTATAAACCGCTATATAAGCTGGTGCAATTTGGAAGCAGTGTTGAAAACCTGAGACTACTTTGCCTATAATAACTTTGTAACTGGGCATAGAACAGCTACTAATGTAAATAGAAAACTGATTTCTTCATTGCAGTGATTAAAACAAGGATTTACTATCAAAAACAGAAAATACATGTTCTGGACACACTGTGTTTGAATTCAAGTGCAATTGAGACTTAAGTTATTTTATAGCACTGAGAGCAATTTGACACTAGTCTATCTTGAAGAATAGATGAGCTTAGTCTACACATAACATTAAGCAAGCAGATGTTTGCTAATGCAGTAGGAATTTACTCTGCACCTCCCACCTATTTAGGCCTCATGCCCAATTATCTATCTAGATCGGTGGTTCCCAACCTCAGGTAACCCAAGTGTTCTAAGACTGTAACACCCAGAAGCCTTCAACACCAGCTTATGCTGGCCGGGGTTTCTGCAACTTGTAGTTCAAAAAGTCCTGATTACTCAAAATTACTCAAAACTGTGCTACCCTGTTTTCCCGAAAATAAGCCCTAGCCTGAAAATAAGCCCTAGTATGATTTTGCAGGATACTCGTAATATAAGCCCTACCTCAAAAATACGCCCCAGTTAAGTGAAACCCCGCCCTCCACCATTGTGCAGCAACCAGAAGATGACAAGACTGTATTTGAAGAAATGTAGATTGCTGCACATGAAAAAAAAATTAAACATCCCATGAAAATAAGCCCTAATGCATTTTTGGAGCAAAAATTCATATAAGACACCATCGTATTTTTTGGGAAACACAGTAGTTCCAACACTTTTGGACAAATTTTGTATGGGGGATGGCTCTAGAGGTGAGGGACAATGAGATTCATCAGTAGTGTCTTTGTAGGACATAATTTGATTCAACACGTTATTGAAATATAGCTATGTAATACATTGTTTTTCAGTATAAATGGGTTTGGGTATTTTAGTCAATCACTTGAAGTGATGTTATCTGAATTTGGCAAAGATCTGAAAGTTAAGTTTTCCTAGATTCACTTTGATCCTTCACATGTTTCACTTAGAAAGCACAAACCATAAAATTAGGTCAATTAGCAGATTTTGTATCAAATGCTATTAGGTTGCCAATCACTTTCAACTGTATAGTTAGAGCAATGCAATATTATTGTCTGCCAGAGCCAATCAGATACTGAGTACGGTGGTGCCTCGCTAGACAGTTAGCCTGCATGACAGTTTTTTTGCTAGACATTGACTTATTGTGATCGCTATAGCAATTTGCAAAACAGTGATTCCTATGGGGGAATTTCGCTGGGCAATGTTTGGTCCCTGCTTCACAAACCAATTTTCGCTAGACGACGATTTTGACAGCTCCTTCCGTGCTCGCAAAACAGGTGTTTTCGGGACCTAAGCTTTGCAAGACAGTGATTTAAACAGCTGATCGGCGTTTCACAAATTGGCTTTCCTATGGTCGATCTTCGCTAGACAACGACGATTCTTCCCCATTGGAACACATTAAACAGGTTTCAATGCATTCCAATGGGGAAATGCTTTTTGCTAGACAATGATTTCGCTAAACAGCGATTTCAGTGGAACGGATTATCATCGTCTAGCGAGGCACCACTGTAATAGTTTTACATGGTCATTTTTTTATGAATCTGAGGAGACTGTGTAATAGAACTTTAGTTTGCAAACTATTGAGACCCGAATTCTAATATAACTTACAGAGTTTATCTCTCTCACTTCTTGATTTCTTTATTCTTACATTTCAGATAGACAATGGGACCACTAGCGTGCCAACAGGAAATACATTTCTGAAAAATGTTGAAGGACAAAATCAAGAACAAGCAGCATTTTGTGATGCCATTGCAAAGTAAGCAGTAAAACTGTTTATTGCAAAATGACTCTTGATACTACTAAGTGGGATGTATAAATCGTGTGTGCCTCTTTTAAGGACATAAAGGCATGCATTGGTTTTATCCATTGGGCACAAGAGGAAACTTACCGTATTTTTCGCTCTATAAGACACACTTTTTCCCACAAAACAGGAGGGGTGTAAAGTCTGTGCGTCTTATGGAGCGAAGAAAACATTATTTTCCCCTGTTTTCTTCTCCTAAAAATTGGGTGCGTCTTATGGAGAGGTGTGTCTTATGGAGCGAAAAATACGGTAGATATTTTGTTTCATGTGATGTGTTATAATGCATGCTTTGGTCAAATGCCAATTCTGTCTTCTACAGCTTGCTTTTCTTACTGATTTGATTAATTCAGTATAGGATAAGGGAAAAGTAAATTTGTTTGCTTAAATGTCTAATAAGGTGTAAAGAGACCCTTTTCTGATATTAACTGCATATTAGTCTGGGTGTGCTAGTTCTGATTGATATATGAAATACCAAAATTTTGCCTATACTTTCTCATGTTTGTGCTCTCTGAGTCTTTGAGGATTACAGAAAACACAAAATTTAGCATGAAACACAGGAGTTCCTACTTTAACTAGGGCCTATCTTGGCATGGATTTTAAAAGTTTTAGAACATTTAAAATGTTACCATCCTGCATGCAAATTAACGAAGAACAAAGATTCTTTGTGTAGTGGAGTGCTTGCTGAGGGGCCTCAAGAAGGTCTGACAGTTAAATTTGAATAGACTGATATCTGATGCAACTTGAGAGTTATGGGTGATTTTTTAAAAAAACTTGGAATTCAAACTGGCTTCAACCCTGCACCTCTGACCCGTGTTAACAGTAGATTGCCCTGCAGGGCTCTGTAATCTCTTTCAGTATAAATGCAGAACTCCAGCCTGGAACAAGAGACATAACAGTGTAGGAGGTTTTATATATTATTTCTTAGACCACTATACAGAGGAAGGAGAAAAGCAATGAATAATGTTTCAGGAGTCTGGTAACTGTATTTAGTTTCAACTCAGCCTGCAGTAAGGTTCTAATTCCTATTGGATTGTAAAGCATTCGGAGCCTGATCTGCAGTATTTCTTGCAGAGTGTCCTGCCAAACGGTTGTTAGATTTCTGCTCTGTGAATGGCATTTGCTTTGAAATTTGTAGTAGCAGAGTTATTTTTTGAATGTTTCACCCTGATCAAGGACAGTTTAAAAGGATCAGGAATTCTTTCCTTTGGTACTGCCAAGAGTTCTTCTGGAAAGATGGACACACCAATGTCCAGTCCCAGCTACATGAAAATATTATATTTCTCCTCTGATTTCTGTAGGCAGCTTCCTGAAGACATGCAGTAAGAGTTTTGCAGTATGAACCAGCAAATGGCATATCCAGGGTTTCTTCTTTTTGTTTTTGGTACTTCTGTAAACCACAAGCTACTCCAGATCCAGCAGTACTTCCCCATTGTGTATGGCTGGTGGCATTTGGGATGTATAAACAATGATCTTTGGACATAAAAATTAAAAATAGTGACTATTATCGCAATGATGTTTAATGGAGAGGTAGGAAAAGAGAGAAGACTCGCATGTATGCACTAGAAATTCTATAACTACATAATTTATTGCACTGTGTGCAGGAACAAACCTTGTGCCTTTTTAATACACTTTTAAAATACTGTACAGTTTAGAAATTTATGGTGTAGAATTGTGGAAGGTGGTTTCAGGTCAGTGGAATATTCAGTTTGTAGTAACAAATAACCAAGGATTGTTCTGATAGTTAGAGAAGAAACAAGCAAAACAGTTTTTAGGAAAACTGGAATAACTATAAAGGGAGTACTACATTATATAGTGCAAAGGATGAAGTGATGTCACCAGCTTCTTTAGCTTTAAAACAGTGGTTCCCAACCTTGAGTCCCCAGATATTCTTAGACTACAGCACACAGAAAATCCTAGCCAGCAAATCTAGCGGTGAAGCCGCCCAGAGTGATAGAATATACCAGATGGGCGGGATATAACTAGAACAAACAAACAAACAAACAAACAAACAAACAAGTAGTACAGCAATAAATAAATTCTGGCAGATTTAGTCCAGGAATGTCTAGGGACCCTAGATTTGGAACCCCTGCAGGATAAGATTGCACTATTAACACAGGTCCATAGCTTGGGGATGCTCCTGGATTAGTCTCTGAGCCTGGATGCTCGGGTTTCGGCAGTGGCCAGGATACCTTTGCACAAGTGAAACTAGTGTGCCAGTTGCACCTGCTCCTGGCAAGGTCTCATCTGGCCTTAGTTATGCCCCAACTGGATTACTCTAACACACTGTACATGTGACTGCTTCTCAAAAGTGTTCAGAAGTTTCAGTGGGTTCAAAACGCAGCAACCAGATTGCTAGCTGGGGGTGGTCACAAGGATCACATAAACCCCTTGTTACAGCAGTTCCAGTGGCTGCTGCTCTGTTTCTGGGCACAATTCAAAGTGCTGGTTCTAACCTATAAGGCCCTAAATGGCTTAGGTCTAAGCTGCCTCAGGAACCACATCTCCCTTTATGAGCTTGTTCAAGTACTGAGATCATCAGGACAGGCCCTTCTGCGAGTCCTGCCACCTTCACAGTTCCATTCAGTGGGCACACAGTCCACTGTCTGTTGCTCCTCCCAGAATTTGGAACTCTCTCCCACAGGAAGCCAGGCTCGCCCCATCTTTGCTGTACTTCCACAAGCAGACAAAGAACTTTCTCTTTAGGCAAGCTTTCGCTTAATGACTGGCTACCTGAGTGGGGTTTTAAATGGATGATTCTGCCTTACTGCTTTGAATGTATTTTCGGTACTGTTTTTGTTTACTGTATTTTAGTGTGTCATTTGTTCAATCCTTTTATTGAAGTATTTGTATACTTACTGTTTTTAGCTCTAACTATTGTAAGCCACCTTGGTTCCTTTTTAAGGATATAGGGAAAATATTTAAATTAATGAATGAATGGAGATTAGACAATGGAGCATAAGGTTGTAATTTACTCCAGCTCATGGTGGCTGTGTGTTGCCTCCAATATTAGATGAAATGTGCTTGTGAAAACCAGTTGCTGGGGAACACAAATAGGGTTTTCCATAGGCTCCTTGTTGGCCACTTTGTAAACATAATCTTGGACTAGATAGTCCTTGATCTGATCTGTCAGTCCTAATCTTATGTTCTTAGCAGTAAGCCACATTGATTTCGGTATGAATTCCCTGTTAAGTATATTTAGAATTTCAGCATTCTTATTTGATTTTTATGCATGTAATGTAATTTATGTTCATCATAAGTAAGGGACTTTAATGCATACTGTTTACAGGTTGAGGACCAAGTTTCCCCATAGCAATCATGAAACAAATTTAGGCTTTGTGTTGAGTCCAGTCATGCTGCAAAGAAATATCAGTGGAGAGAACACAAGCATCAAGATCTCAATAGAAATAGAAGGTTTTCAACAGCCAGTAACATTTACATGTGATGGTATGTGCCTCTTGATTTTTTTTAAATAGTCATAGTTTAATAGGATTGTATTGAAATGATGGTTGAGTTGTTAGCACATTCAGCATGTTTTTTAGCTGTTTGTAGATACAATTGAGTATCTACAGTATAACAAAATGCATCTTGTTAGTGCTGAAATGCTTAAGAGAATTTTAAGGCACCAGTTTGTTTTTGAATAGAAGTGATATATAAGTTTGTGTTTGAATAGAAATTATGTATAAGTCATATTTCTGTGTAAATTATTCACTTGCCTTTTGCAATTAAAAAAGTTGGGAGTGTAAGTTAAGCAGTTTATTTGTTAAACTACTGTTGTGACTTTTTTGGAATCAAAATCAATGCCTCATAAAAAACCAGCACTGGAATATATTGAAAACTATCTTTCCTAAAGAGATGTGTCCAAGTGCTGGCTCCAAGCATTTCACATTGTATTCTGGATCACTGTATTTCTTTGCCTTGGTGCTTGCAAGAGAATGGAGGTTACATTCAGAAGGTCATTCACTGGAGCTGGCATTTGAATATTTTGATCTTTTCCCACCAATTCCTATCCCCACCCAATCCTCACCATCTAGCAGTGTTGCTATAGTTGCTTGTCTTTTTGTGGGCATGCCAGGCCTGTTGTATCTTAGCTTGTAGCTATGTGGGTTTTTTTCCCCTTAATCAGATTGGTTCCTGGAGGGCAGATCAGCCTTGCTGCTAAACTCTTTGTTGCTATGTCAAGTTTCCAAATACAAAAGTGTATCAAATTGCTTCTGAGCCAAACCTCTCAAGTCTCTGGAAACAACAGACTTTGTGGTGGCATTTTCTGATCAATAAATCCACTTCATGTATTCCTTCTTGCAAACCTGGCAAAGGAGGCATTAAGTTTGCATATTTCATATAAATAAATATCTACTACTGCAAACTCTGTTGAACAGGAAAAATGAACACTGTTAATACAGAATAAAGCAGTGGTGTTTTTATAGTTTCTCTTTTCTTCTGTGTTTCTTTTCTTTGAACAGCAAGTTCTCCAGTTGAGCTTATAATAATGCAAGCACTCTGCTGGGTGCATGATGACTTGAATGATGTAGACATTGGCAGTTATATCTTGAAAGTTTGTGGTCAAGAAGAAGTTTTGCAAAAGTAAGCAACTTTTTTCTATCCATGCTTAACTGTATCCTAGATACTGTAATGTGTAAAAACCAGCTTTTGTTTCATTCTTAATTTGTTTGGGAAAAGTAACACATTTTTTGTTTACCTATTAATTTTCAGTTCTGTTCATTTGCAGAAGGCTTTTTTCATTTTATGGTACATACATTTGCAACTTCTTTTAAACTGAAAGGATTCCAGTTTTGTTAAAACCATGACCATGTTTACCTGCCACCACTGATTTGTTGTAGTAGCAGAATCTCATTTGTTTTAGAGGTAGTATGAGAGTAGTGGCTCCTTACAAAACTAAAGACAGACTATTTATTTTTTAAATCTCTGACCCTGTCATCTTTTTATTTTATGTCACTTTGGTATCATCTGTAACTCTGTTAGCAGTTAATGCCATGTGGCCACCTCTTTGGCATACATACTATAGGAGCAATGTAATACTATATAGAATAGAGTGGGCAAGAGTGATGATGCAAGTTCTTTGTTCCAAATGAAAATATTGAAATAAATGGTCAAGTGGGTATGGGTAGAGTTAAGTTATTTGAGAAGTACAACTAAGACTCCCCCCCTTTCAGTTAGATTGGTATACAGTGGTGCCCCGCATAGCGCCCTTTCAGTTAGATTGGTATATTTGCTATGGGGCTGACATTCTAATTCAGGGTAGACACAATGTGAGACAGTGGGGATATTTTCAATCGTTAAGAGTAGTTACAGTGCCTAACATCTTTGAGTCTCCAGCCACAGATGGTGGTTGGAAATTTCCCACTTGATGCTTCAACAGGGGAACATCAGCCAGACTACTCTAACTTCTTTTTACACATGCTGGCATGGAAGGCAGGGAAATAATTCACTCCCAGCCAGAACTCCCAAGGAGCTATCCAGGATGAGGATTCAGCTGAAACTGCCAGCTGAGAATATGACCTTAAGAGTCCATGGTATCTCTGACTCAGGGGAAAAGGGAGAATCATTTGCTGGTATCTCTGATAAGAAATATGGATCACTTCAGTAACTGGGAACATGGCCCTAGGCAAGGGGAAGAAGGTTGTCTGTCACAGGCCAGATTCTTGGATTAAAGCGAACAAGACTTACAATTGACCTCTCTGTAGCTAAAATGGGAAGCCACACAATTAACACTGAAAAGGAGAGGTGGGAAAACTAATGAGAAAGAAAGGGAGCATTTGTCCGCAAAGCATGTCATATCTCATAATTACAGTGAAGAGACTGGGAATTGTGATGTCTCCCCTAGAACGGGATATAGACTTTTAAATTCTAGTGATTGTTACTTTGCAGTATTTCGAAAAGTAATCTGAAGCCATATTGTAACCATAACATGCATTGATTTCACAGTAAACATAGTGTAGGAAGCCATGAATATATTCAGAACTGCCGGAAGTGGGACACAGAGATTAAATTACAGCTCCTGACCTGTAATGTTATATGCAAAGATCTGGCACGAACAGTAAGTACAATGAAAACAACCATGGTGCATTTAAAGGGGGGGGGATATAAATAAAAACCTCATTGTTAAGCGATTTCGTCAATATAAATAAAAACCTCAGTGTTAAGCGATTTCGTCATGGAGCAAGGTAATCGTTAAGCGGGGCACTACTGTACTGTATATAATTTAGTAACTGTATATGTAACACCAGCTGAAATATCGTAACAAAATCATATTAATGCAGACTTGAAATACTGAAAAATAGGTTACTGATACATTGGTGCCTCGACTTATGAACTTAATCTGTTCCAGAAGATGGTCGTAACTCAAATCGGTTGTAAGTTGAAGCACCATTTCCCATAGGAATGCATGGAAACCCCATTAATCCATTCTGGCCGGGAAAAAATCACCCAAAAAACAAACCACCCAACCACTGCAAGCCCAATCAGAATGTGTTGGGGCCGGGGGAAAAATCACCAAAAAACAAAACATCACAGCAAGACCCATTGGAATGTGCTGGGGCTGGGGGGAAAATCACACCAAAAACAAAAAAATAAATAAATCTCCGCACAGAAACAGAACACCCCCAGCCCAAATCCACCCTGCAAAACAAAAAAACAAACCACCCAACCATTGCAAGCCCAATCAGAATGTGTTGGGGCCGGGGGAAAAATCACCAAAAAACAAAACATCACAGCAAGACCCATTGGAATGTGCTGGGGCTGGGGGGAAAATCACACCAAAAACAAAAAAATAAATAAATCTCCGCACAGAAACAGAACACCCCCAGCCCAAATCCACCCTGCAAAACCCTGGTACTCACTCAGAACAGGCATTATAAAAAGCAAAGAGCAGCACCAGGCAATCCGAAGGCGGCTCCAGTGCACTCTCTCTAACCGTTTGGGCGAAAGAGCTACAAAGAAGCAGCCTCTTCGCCGACCAACGGTTAGTAATTTAAATGTCCTGCCTTTCCCCCCACCTTTTTTCTGATCGTGACTCAAAGCTCTGGTCTCAAATCAAAGCAAAATTTTGCGGCCGGAGCTGGTCGTAACTCAAATTGTTCATAAGTCGGGACGTTCGTAAGTCGAGGTACCACTATATTCATTTTACTAAAGATCTATTACTCTCCACGTTACTGCTTTAAAATCCTAGAGATAATGCTGTAAGTTTTATTCCTGTGTATAGATTTTGCAGATACACTTGAGTAGACTATTTGAATCAGAAATATATGCACTTTTCTGTGCTTAAGAAAGAGGGGGAGTGTGAAACTTTCTCTTTTTAAGAATCCCAGTAATCAAAAAAGCAATTTGCTATCCATATTTAGATTACTTTTAGAGTTGCATTTCTTTAGAAAAACAAGCCAGAACATTAGTTATGTCCTGAAATAACTTTGATATTTCTAATTTTAGGAAGAAGATGATAAGATGCCAATAGAGTTGACTAAACATCTCTATAATGTGGAAAAGCTTTTCAGGGAGAGCATTCAAAGGTAACCACTTCGTTCCAGTTCCCTTTGTACTCAAAACAAATTGTCCCTGTACATCATTTTCATAAATGCTTCCATGTTTAATTTAACTATTATTTGTTTCAGTCATTCTCTTGAAGAGTTGTTAGAAACTTATCATAATGAAGTTGATATACTACTAAAAACAGAGGTGAGCTTTACCTTTACGTACTCCCAAGGATATTTAATGCAACATTTTATCTATAGATCAAAAGCAAAACACAATCCTTCCAAAACTGTTGGATTGCAATTCCTGTTGTTCCTCATTATTAACTGTGCAACACCATATAGAAGTTATCAACCTGTGTCTTTGAAATAACAGATATAGCACGCGGTATGTTAACTGGATGATTGAATAGATTTTTCAGTAGATAAAATCTGGCAGCCCAGAAGATGGTCACATTGCATGTTGGTTTTCAGTTTTCAGAAGATGGTAACTGAGATTGCCAGTGTGGTATAGTGGATAGAGTGAAAGATTAGGACTCTGGAGAAGAGAGTTTGAATCCCCATTCAGCCAATGAAACTTACTGGGGGAACGGAACTGGTAAAACCACTCTTTAAATATCTCACTTACCTTGAAAGCCTACAGTATTAGGGTTGCTATTAGTTAGTTCCAACTTGACAGCACAAAACCCACACACACAAATGAGATTATTTCTTGCGGAGGGGTGGGGTGAGGAACAAGATGCACAAAAAATCTAATTGCAAAATTCTCATAATTACTTCCTTTAAGTAATATTTCTAGATAATTCAATTACATGGCTCTCAATAGTGTTTTATAGTGAAGAATTAAAATAATAAATTCTCTTTTGTGCCTTTCCTTTTATTTTAAGTTTATTATGAACAAAAGAGCCTTTAAAGAAAAAAAAAGATACAAAGATAAATAGCAAAAATGCCCCCTGAGATATTGTGAGCAATTTCTCTCTCTCTCTCTCTCT